GCTCAGAACAAGCAATTTGCGACGTAATCCACATAAACACGGCACGGCGGAGTACGTGGTTGTTATTCACTGATTGAAAAACGCAGTGCGCTTTGGAACATATGACACGGGGGAGGCGAGGGGAAAGGGGGGCTTGGGGAGCGGGAAGAGACAGTCGGTGTGCTGCAAATTGTTATGTCTACGCGGCAAAAGCCTGCTTGAGCTCTCCCAGGGAGCCAAGCGCAGGCAACTGCAGGCAGGACAAGTGGTCATTTCCAGCAACACCGGGTAGGTTGGCCCCGGGCATGTCACCGCAGTCCCCCAGCACCCATGTGTAGAGTGATGCTCTTGTCCATCCCTCAGCAGGGACACTGGGCTCCGGCAGGACAAGTGTTTTGTCCAGGGTTACCCTCTGGAGAGCCCAGTGACGGTGGCTGTCTCCAGCACCAGACGTGAGCACCCATCACGGAGCTGCTCTGCCCCCTGCACCCTCAGTGGGGATGTGCCAGGGCCCTCCATGGGGAGTCATCCATCCCTAGATCCATCCCTGGCCACCTTCAGCTGGTCACTGACCTCGCTACCTCTCCCTTCCCATCCGCAGGGTGAGGTACCCTCAGGGAACCTGCCACAATACAGGGTCCCACCTCTGGGACGTAGAGGTGCCACAGAAACCATGCTCGATCCCACCCACTGTGATTAACAGCTCAGGCCACGCTCCAGGAGCTGCCACCAGTTGTGTCCACATAAGCAGCCTGACAGGGCACTCAGGATTAAGCCCTTCAATGCTTTTCTGTCATCGGCTAAACTGGTGTGAACACGTCCAAGACTGTGCTAATCAAAAGCCTGCCATGGCTCAACCACCATCAGCAACTGGGCACCTAATGAGTGCAGCTCCTATCCAACCACAGAAATACCACCCAAGTTTACAAGCAGTTCACAAACTTTCACCAAATCAGCTGAGAGCGATCTAAAATCTGTGGCCAAACACAGGCAGGTGGACATGTGATGGCCGGGTGCTGGCTGAAGGAAGCATCCTGGCCATGGCTACATACAAACCAGTTCACCTTCCTGCTGCGGTCATACAGCTGGGGCTACACTCTGCGTCCACACAATTTCATCTCAGATTAAACACGGGAAAAGAGCAAAACATCTGCTGAACATCTGTTCAACCAGGTGAGCAGCACTGGAGAGGACAGGACCTGCAAACACAGGTGGGTCCCTTTCTCCTGCAGTTTGAAAAAGGTGTTATCCTCACCTCCTCCACAGTATCTCCCCATCACCATCACAGGTGCTTGGCACAGAAGTGTGTTCTTCCACACAGCCAGCCTGTCTCTAATGCCCCGTTAAAAACAGACACTGCCTTGCCTCTCCCCTGCCACATGCCGGGACAGCCACATCGATCTGCACAGAAAGGAGACTGGGTGTAGCTCTCCCTACTCTCTGTAGCCCATCGCTGCTGCATCTCTGCACCAGCAGGTCATTGGCTTTTTCAGGCTGCCCTTGGACACATCCCTCTTCGCTGGGAAAGCACACGTAATCCCCACGTGGAAGAGTCACGCAGAGGAGCCCAGGCAGACAGACGTGGTGAGATGAACTGCTGCCTCCCAGGAGGGCTGCGGGGCTGCCAGCAGCGTTGGGGCATCTGTTACCCTGTGAGGGGACGGCGGGCTGTGAGCCTGCCAGGAGACACCCACAAGGAGACACCCGGCCACCCCGCGCTGGCAGAGCCAGGGCAGATGAGAGGGACAAGCAGGTCCCCCAGAAGGAGACACGTTCTCAGTGGTGTCCCTTCCCCAGGGGTATTTCCATCATGAATCCTTGTAGATCTGTTGGTCCGACTCCAGGCTCAGAGCTGGCTGTGCACTTCACGCTTGGAAAGCTCAGAGGAACACAGACATCCGTCTCATCACGTAGCTTGAGAGAGGCAGGTCTGCACCACAGAGAGAAGAAATCATGCCATGGCTCCGGAGCATCATCACATCCACAGTCACCCTGCAAAGGCTCGACTGGGCTGCCTTGACCAGCGCCTGCCTCTTGGAAGAGGACTGCTGGAACTGGAAATATTGATAAAGAGAAGTGCCTCTCTTCCCCCTCTGCTCATAAAAATCAAAGCAAAGCAGCTGGCGAGTTACAGAGACCTTCCTCCTGGGCGAAGGCAGTGGAGTAAACATTTTGGTTTGCAGCTGGGTTAGAAGATGCTCACGTGCACGTGGACATCACAGGTGCCCTGATGCCATGCAGCTCACCGAAGGCTGCTGATTCTTTTCCACTATACTTATCTGTGATTTAAACAGCCACTCAAATTCTTAGCAAACCAAAGTGTTAACAGACAAGCACTGGAACACATCACTTCAAAAGAAATGCCCAAACATTCAGAAGTAAGAAACTCTGGGACCCAAACTCAACACCCACATGACACCAGCATCTCCAAGAGTCTTCTGTCTAGACAACAGCCTCAGCACTGCACCTCAGCCCACGCAGTGGAGCAAGCCCAGGAGACCAAGTTCTACCTACCCCATGGAGAACATATCCTCACAGACTAAACAGTTAAAGACATTTTATTCTCAGCAGGGCAGGGCCTGAGAAACAGCATCTTCCCTCAGAGCCATCTGCAACCTGCACCGAGTTACAACTTTCTCAGAGAGTAAGCAGAAGTAAAGCCGACAGGTCGGATGGGTAAGGTGACATGTTCAAAACATCCACAGTGTTTCTGCAGGGTAAGGGCCATGTAATGCACTTCTCTGGGGGATGACATTTAAGAAAAACATAATTGCAATGCAAAGCTATTACTGGAAAAACCTTGGATTTACTGAAAGCTCTTTAAAAATAAAACAGAAAGAAAGGTCTCAATTGCTTTCTGGCCACCGCAGCGTTCAGACTACACATCTCAATGACACTTCTCCCCGGGGAAAACACGGGGTCATTTTTAAAATGGTACCGCTACGTTGCAGGGATGAAATGAGCAGTGTCCTGGTTTACTGAGTCATAACCTCCTCCTGACCTAGAGGGGACCTGACCTGGGCCCCTGCTTCCCAGGGATCCCTGGGCAGGGGTGATTTCCACTGTGGGAACAGGGAGCTGAGCCCCAGCCAAGCGGAGGGCAGAGGCCGTGACTGCGCAGCACACCGGTGTGTTCTGCATCGCCTGGGGCTGATGTGGGGGCCAGGGGAGAGGTGCAGGGCCACCCAAAACCCCAGCAGACAGGATGGAGGGTCACCAGCAAGGAGTAATGGGCAAAGGGATTAGGAGACAGTTCTGCACCTCTAGAACTCCAGGAGCACAAAACCAAGAATCCTCCAAAGAGGGTCAGATGTGAATGACACCTCTAAGATAAAAAGTGCACGGCCAGAGCTTGTAAGGTCAAAGCAGCAAGAAGCCAGGAACCAGCAACAAATGCTGCTTCCTTGATGTACACCCCAAGGACCCCAGTTTCAGTGCAGAGCCTGTAACCCTGAAAGCTCAGGGGGAGCTGTTTAAAAGACTGAAATCCGGAATTAAGAGTTTCCTACCACAGCTGGGCCATATTCCAGCAGCTTCCGACTTGATGGGAAACCCATGACACAGACCCAAAACTTCTGGGTAAATCCCTATTTTTGCCATACTGGATCACTCCCAAGCCCCCTCCCTTCCAGCTAAGGCTACAAGCAGCTTCAACAAGCCCATCGATGTACTCAGGCAGTAACATCTCCTTCCTCGCTCAAACACAAACCCCTCGGAGCAACCTGCTACGAGCAGGACAGAAGGCAGAGCCCAACCATGGCCCCTTTGCCCATTAATGCCAGTATAAGCCGGGGATGCAGCCTCCAGCTCCCAAGACCTCATACCACCTCATCCTGCTTGTGGCCACCGTTTGCCAACGCTGTGGTAACCTCCAGCCTCTCTCAGCTGAGATGTCCACCATGACCTCGCACCATCAGCCCCTGGCAAGCTGCCCCACTACCGAGCCCATGCACATCTGCCACCATCACTGTTGCAAATGCAATAACCAGAGCTCTCTGAACAACCAAAAGCAGACAGCAGCAGCCCGAGTGGAGCAGACAGCAATCCAAGAACCTGCATTTGGGTGACAGCCACCACCGCTCCTTGCAGAGGCTTTGCACAGGATTAGAACCAGGCTGCCCCAACCTCCCTGCAAGAGACCTCTGAGTTGCAGCAGCCCCAGGGTGGGTACACCTTGTGTGCACATCGGGCAGAACATGCAAAGCTGCTCTCCTTCCTGGAGCTGCTTCCTTTCCAACTCAGAAGAAGATCTGACTATTCATCTCATCTCTCAGAGGCCACTGGCAGGTCCCGGGGTGCTGTTTTGCCTGACACGACGTGGGGGCTGGGCCATAGGAAGCATCTCTCTCTGGGTAGACAGATGAGACAGTCTGCAAGATGCACGCAGAGCCCAGCTGGGGTTTTGCAGGGTGTTCTCAGAAGAGATTTCCCCTGCCCTCCGAGGAGTAAGGCAGGGCGATGGAGGAAAGCTTTGCACTGGACTCTGCTGCAGCTCCCCTGTGCAGCATCAGCGCCCAAGGGCAAAGCATCAACAAACTAAAAAAAGGAGAAAAAAAAAAAAAAGGTGGGGGCAGGAAGGAAAGGAAATGCAACATCTTTCGGATGAGGAAGCACCAACCCAAGCGCCACCAATCTTTAGAGCAGAAAGAGAGCAAAGGGTTTGACCCTGGTGACTCAAAGGAAAAATAATGAGCACTACCTCCCCAAACAAGGAAGCGGGCTCTGACACGTAGCAGCAAGCACTAACTCCCTCGTGACCTCGCCCTTACGCACCCGGGGAAGATAGTGATTAGCACCACCTCCACCAGGCAAGCCCAAATTACAGCTGTCGAGGACTGTGAGCTGCCCACTCCCACCTGGCAGAATCGGCTCTCTCCATTGCACCCCCCAGCCAGTGCAAAGCAAGAGATGCTCCGTCAGACCACGTCTGTCCCCCTCCGACCCTTCCAGCAGCATCACTGCAGTCGCACCCTTTCCCAGCATCCTTCTCCAGGACTCAGCCCCCCAGTGACTGTTTTCAGCCACCCCTCCAGCAATCAATGTCTTGACTTGCAGCTGGATTTTGCTGGATGAGGGGGCAGCCCCAAACTGACAATTTATTGTAAGCTGTTTTTCTCAGGATGAGGGGGACAGCAATAGGATGCGTGCCAGTCCCGATACCTGCCGGTCGCTGCAGCTCCGACCGGGCTGTGATTACACAGCACCCTCCAGTGACGAAGGAGCCGAAGGGTTAAGGCTCTCCGGAGCGGGCTGTGTGTGTCTGCCTGCCTTTCAGTACTCATCTCAGCCACTTCGCTTCCTGCCTTGGTGCGGTGCCAGCGAGAGGTCCTGGCCAGCAGCGCGCTTCCTTCTGACAGCTTAGACACACACACAGGGTGCCACGCTCACCACCCAGGAACCTCTCCAAACCTGGCCCGGCTCCCGCTCCCCGCAGCGAGAGGTAACACTCACCAGCTCCACCTGGGGACCCAGTCCTTCCAGGATCCGGTGGGCAGCCTCTGCCTTCTTCTGCAGGGAGGAAAGGGGAGAGGGAGAAAAAAAAAAAGTTATTTCTGCCATCAGTTACAGTCGCAGCCCTCTGCTCCAGCTCTCCCCCTGTAAAACCCCTTCCCAAACCTCTGCAGAGCTGCCAAAAAACCCACCCCCGCCTGAAAGTGGGTGGAAAGTATCAGCTCAGCCTCTGGACCTGCAGGAAAGCCCCACGGGCAAAGGGCTCCAGCACTCGAGTTATCACGACTTTAATGAATCCAAGCTCTGCCCAGGAAGCGATCCGAATCCCCGACCCCTCTGGGTGCCAGGCGGGGGGATCGCACCCGTTACCCCCACACGGCCGCCCTGCGAGAAGGAGGGT